AAGTAACTTTCGGAAGGTCTTAGCGATAGGACTTTGTTTATTGAAGAGTTATCAAACAAAAGCAACTTTATAAATAAGACATAAATTTTCGATACTTTATATGTTTAAGAAGTGCTAAAAATAACTTTTCAGAAACTCTTTAATAAACAATAAATAACAGTTATAATATTTAGAAGATTATTTAGAAATCTTTATCTCTATTGTCGCTTAAATAATTCGTTTTCAATTGATGAGTCTATTATATACTAAAATAATAGGTTCTAAAAAGATTAGCAAAGATTTCTATATAAGGTTTGAGTTTAAATCCTTATATATATAAGGTTTAGTTATGCAATAAGTTATATAAGAAAATATTTTAGTAATAAGTCGTTCAAGTCACAAATCTTGCATAAGGAAGATTTGCTAATTTGCTAATTTTTTTCACAAGATCCAGTCTAAATTTTTTCACGATTTTTTTAATAAATAAGAACCAATGGCTGAAATCTTTTAAAAGCTACTCTGAATGAGAATGTTTTTAAAAACATATATAGAGTGTCCTATATTCTCCTCCGCAGTTTATGTGGAAACGTAGAACGGATTAAAGCGAACATAAAAGACTTATACCGTTTTGCGATATTCGCAGTAATAGTCGAGATATTATTTAAAAAAGATTGGTGATTGATTACGCGCGATATGGTACATAAGGTGAAGTGTGCACGGAGAAAAATAATTTTGCTCTTTTAGCAAAATCGTCGTTGCTACTGCATATTCGTAGTGACAGCAAAATAATTTAGTTGACGTAACTAATTTTACAAATTATTTGTTATCATAGCAGAAGTAGTTTTGTTACCAAGATAAAAAAAATTTGTTGAGTGTATTTATCTTAAGAATTATGTTAATTTGCTATCGATATAAAATAATGTATCCTTAGCAAATTTATTTGCTATCGGAGCAACTGCTTATATAAATCCATCAAGCTTCTTACAGCAAAATAATTTGTAGATTCAGCAAATTATATCTAGCAAATAGTGATTAGTACTTCTAGCAAATCTTTTTGCTGTTCATATAATAACGAAAAGATTTTGCTAGACTAGCAGAAAATTTACTGGGCCAGCAAATTATTTTTCTCCGTGTGCTGTTGTATGTTTGTACATTAGATCAAATTGAACAAAAAACCTTTTATCGTTTTGCAAATAACCACAAAGATTTTAAGAAAGGAAATTATTACACGATTGTGCGCGATAATCTACAAATCTTTTTTAATTATTATTTAAGAATTTATATAGTCATTTGCAAAATGGTAGAGGACTTTTTTGTTTAATTTGACCTAATATATAAGCATACAACGGCAAACGACACTACTACAGCTCATCTATCATATAGCGCGTGACCATTCATCAATTTTCTTTAATTAATATCTAGAGATTTATTGTGAATATCGCAAAACGGTATGGGACATTTATGTTCACCTTAATCTATTCTATGTTCTCACAAAAATTGCAGAAGAGAGTCTGGGATACTCTGTGCAGCAATTAATTATTTTAACGAATACTAATAATTCGATGAACCTTCGAAAATTTTGATCTTGACATATATTTTGTAAATTCCTCTACTGTGCAATTTTTGTCTGTTTTTTTATCAGTAGATCTGTTAGCACTTTTCTTATTAGAACTTAAGAGATATCAAAGGTGATTAATAACGTTATTAATAATGTTATTAATATCTGAAGTTTCGAAAATAT